AGCTGCTATGAAGCATTGAAGGATGTATTCCTATTAGCTGCATTGAAGCAGTGAAGGATGTATTCCTATTAGCTGCTATGAAGCAGTGAAGGATGTATTCCAATTAGCTGCTATGAAACAGTGAAGGATGTATTCCTATTAGCTGCTATGAAGCAGTGAAGGATGTATTCCTATTAGCTGCTATGAAACAGTGAAGGATGTATTCCTATGAGCTGCTAAGAAGCAGTGAAGGATGTATTCCTATTAGCTGCTATGAAGCAGTGAAGGATGTATTCCTATTAGCTGCTATGAAACAGTGAAGGATGCATTCCTATTAGCTGCTGTGAAGCAGAGAAGGATGCATTCCTATTAGCTGCTTGAAGCATTGAAGGATGCATTCCTATTAGCTGCTATGAAGCAGTGAATGATGTATTCCTATTAGCGGCAATGAAGCAGTGAAGGATATATTCCTATTAGCTGCTATGAAGCAGTGAAGGATGTATTCCTATTAGCTGCTATGAAGCATTGAAGGATATATTCCTATTAGCTGCAATTAAGCATTGAAGGATGTATTCCTATTAGCTGCTATGAAGCATTGAAGGATGTATTCCTATTAGCTGCAATGAAGCATTGAAGGATGTATTCCTATTAGCGGCAATGAAGCAGTGAAGGATGTATTCCTATTAGCTGCTATGAAGCAGTGAAGGATGTATTCCTATTAGCGGCAATGAAGCAGTGAAGGATGTATTCCTATTAGCTGCTATGAAGCAGTGAAGGATGTATTCCTATTAGCTGCTATGAAGCATTGAAGGATATATTCCTATTAGCTGCAATTAAGCATTGAAGGATGTATTCCTATTAGCTGCTATGAAGCATTGAAGGATGTATTCCTATTAGCTGCAATGAAGCATTGAAGGATGTATTCCTATTAGCTGCAATGAAGCATTGAATGATATATTCCTATGAGCTGCTATGAAGCATCGAAGGATGTATTCCTATTAGCTGCATTGAAGCAGTGAAGGATGTATTCCTATTAGCTGCTATGAAGCAGTGAAGGATGTATTCCAATTAGCTGCTATGAAACAGTGAAGGATGTATTCCTATTAGCTGCTATGAATCAGTGAAGGATGTATTCCTATTAGCTGCTATGAAGCAGTGAAGGATGTATATTTTCTATTAGCTGCTATGAAACAGTGAAGGATGTATTCCTATGAGCTGCTATGAAACAGTGAAGGATGCATTCCTATTAGCTGCTGTGAAGCAGAGAAGGATGCATTCCTATTAGCTGCTATGGCTTGCTTTTTGTTTCCCTGAACTGGTCTGTAAGGAGATACACTATGCTGAGTTATTTCAATACAGATAAGGGAAGCGGAGGAATATTGGGGCGGTTCTGTCTATAAGAAGCAGAGCATTTGTTCCATATGTAAAGGTGACAGCGGGTTCCTATGGGCCACCACTTCTCCTGCTCTGCTGTACATCATCTGGTAACAAAGGTCTGATATCCAACCATTGACTCCTGAGCCAGCAATTAGTGCCGTGACTTGTGGCTTTATAATGATAGAGATCTCATGGGCAATAAATCGAAGAGCGGCCCGTATGTGTATGTCCATTACATGGAAGCTCGATAGTATGGGGGGGGGGGCTACTTACATTCATTAAATCAATGCAAATGTCCATGATGTTGCAAAACAGAAGCCAATAGCAACTCTCATGTGTTCCTTAATTATTATTATTATAATAATTATTTATTATTATTATTATTATACAGGATTTTATATATTATTATTATTATTATTATTTTTTTTTTTATTATACAGGATTTATATATTATTATTATTATTTATACAGGATTTATATATTATTATTATACAGGATTTATATATTATTATTATTACTATTATTATACAGGATTATATATATTATTATTATTATTATTATTATTATTATTATTATTATTATTATTAAACAGGATTTATATAGTATTATTATTAGTATTACAATTATTACTATTATTATTATTATGCCGGATTTTATATATTATTAATATTATTATAATACAGGATTTATTTATTATTATTATTATTATTATTATTACTATTATTATTATAATACAGGATTTTATATATTATTATTATTATTATTATTACTATAATTATTATTATACATTATTTATATATTATTATTATTATTATTATTATTATTAATAATAATAATCAAGATTTATATATTATTATTATACAGGATTTATATATTATTATTATTATTATACAGGATTTATATATTATTATTATATAGGATATATATATTATTATTATAATACAGGATTTATATATTATTATACAGGATTTATATATATTATTATTATTATTATTATACAGGATTTATATAGCGCCAACAGTTTCTGCAGCGCTCTGCAATATAAAGGGAGACAATACAACTACAATACAGTTCCAATTAGCTGCCATGGCTCACTGTTTGTGCTGTGAAAGTACCCTGTAGTGGGCACCACTTGCTGAGCTCTCCTTCTGTAACATGCTGAGCCGTTAGCTTTAGCCCTTTACCCAAAGCAAGAAATTTTTTTCTTTTACTGTATTATAGCTATTTATATATCACTGACAATTCACATTCACATCAGCTCCCCCCCCCGGGTCCTCAAGGAGCTTACAATCTAATGTCCCTATCTCACATGCTGGGCCAATTTATACAAGAACCAATGAACCCACCAGTATGGAATGGGGGTGGCATCCCCACAAGTACAGCGAGAACATACAAACTCCATCCAGATAGTGTGACTTGGATTCAAACTTAAGGCGGAGCTCCACCCAAAAGGGGAAGTTCCGCTTTAAGGCTTTGTCCCCCTGCTCCCCCTTAAGGATTGGCACCTTTAGGGAGCAGGTACCCGAATTGGACAGGTACTTGCTCCCACTTCCACTGTAATCACCTAGGCGATCAGAAGTGGAAGTTGTCCTTCCCCTCCCTCCCCGTAGTCTTCTTGGACACGTGACAGGTCCCAGAAGACGACGGGGCCATTCACACAGCGCAGCACTTCTCACACATGCGCAGTGGGCACCCAAGCCGTCACAGCCGGGTGACCACACTGAAGATGCCGGTGCCAGGGCAGCCGGTGACACCAGCGGTGGTGAGGACACCGCTGGACCGAGGGACAGGTGAGTGTCTGTATTTTAAAAGTCAGCAGCTACAGGTTTTGTAGCTAGTGACTTTTATTTTTTTAGGTGGAACTCCGCTTTAAGTGTTGCAGAGCAGAAGTGCTAACCATTGAGCCACTGTGCTGCTCTGTCTGCCCTATTGGCTACTATGGCTTACTTTTTTTGTGCTTTAAGGGCTGGTTCACACTATAGAAATGCAGTCCAGATGCGTTCTGGATGCGTTTCCGCATGCACGTTTTTGACGTGTCTGGTGCATTTTTGCTGCATTTTGGACATGTTCCAGTGTGTATTTGACGCTTTCTGGATCATTTTTTTCCCCTCTCTTTTTCTTCAATATAAATAGGGACATGTGCATTTCAGTGTATTTTTTTGTGAATTCCGGTGCATTTTGTATGCCTTTTACCGCGCTCCAGTACAGTTCTGTGCAGGAAAAATGCAGCTTGTTCTACTTTTTTTTTTCCTGCATCCGAAACGCACTGGAACTGCAAGCACTGATGTGAACTATGACATTGACAACCATATCACCTACTTTCTGCACGTTTTGGATGCAGAAAAAAAGCAACTGAAATGCATGGAGTGTGAACCGGCCCTAAAGGTATCCTGTACTGGGCTGCCACTGCTGAGCTCTGTTTCTGCTGATCCATTCACTGTAAGTCCCTCACCCAAAACAAGGATTAGTTATTACAGATATTTATATCACATCAGCAATTTACATTCCAGTCCCTGTCCTCGAGGAGCTTGCAATCTAAAGGTCCCTATCTCACATACATGGGCCAATGTGAGTGGAAGCACAGGGAGAATATACAAACTCCAAGCAGACAGAGTGACTGGGATTCAAACTTAAGAGCACAGTATTGCAAGGCAGAAGTGCTAACCACTGAGCCACTGTGCTGCTCTGTCTGCCCTATTGGCTGCTATGGCTTACTTTTTTGTGCTTTAAGGGACGGTTCACACTATGGAAATGCAGTCCAGATCAGGGGCGGACTGACAACTCATGGGGCCCCCGGGCAATAGGGGATGATGGGGCCCCTCTGTCCTTGTTCAAACTAAAAAAAGCCTATGAAAAAGGTACCAGGGGCATCTCATGGGGCCCCCTACTGACCCCGGGCCCTCGGGCGGTGCCCGAGTTTCCAAATGGTCAGTCCACCCCTGGTCCAGATGCATTTCCGCATCTATATTTTTGACGCGCTCTTGTGCGTTATTATGCGTTTTTGACACATTCCAGTGCGTTTTTGATGCTTCTGGTTCATTTTGTTCCCTCTCTTTTTCTTCAATTTAAATAGGGACATGTGCGTTTTAGTGAGTTTTTGGTGCGTTTTGGTGCGTTCTGGTGCATTTTTTTAAACTGAGGACCCCAGTGCTGCAAGGCATAAGTGCTAACCACTGAGTCACTGTGCTGCCCTATTGGCTGCTATGGCTTACTTTTTTGTACTTTAAGGGGCAGTTCACACTATAGAAATGCAGTTCAGATGCATGTTTTTGACGCGTTACGGTGCGTTTTTGATGCATTCTAGTGCGTTTTTGATGCTTCCTGGTACTTTTGTTTCCCTCTCTTCAATTGAAATAGGGACATGTGTGTTTCAGTGAGTTTTTGGTGCGTTTTGGTGCGTTTTTGATGCATTTTACCGCGTTCCGGTGCAGTTCTATGCAGGAAAAATGCAGCCTGCTCTACTTCTACAGAGGGCGCAGGGAGAATATACAAACTCCAAGCAGATAGCGATAGTAAACTGAGGATCCCAGTGCTGCAAGGCATAGGTGCTAACCACTGAGTCACTGTGCTGCCCTATTGGCTGCTATGGCTTACTTTTTTGTGCTTTAAGGGACAGTTCACACTATAGATATGCAGTCCAGAACAGGGGCGGACTGACCATTTAGAAACTCGGGCACTGCCCGAGGGCCCAGGGTCAGTAGGGGGCCCCATGAGATGTCCCTGGTACCTTTTTCATAGGCTTTTTTGAGTTTGGGCAAGGACACAGGGGCCCCATGATCCCCTATTGCCCGGGGGGCCCCATGAGTTGTCAGTCCGCCCCTGGTCCAGATGCATTCCAGATGCATGTTTTTGACATGTTACGGTGCATTTTTGACACATTCCAGTGCATTTTTGATGCTTTTTAGTACATTTTTTCCCCTCTCTTTTTCTTCAATTGACATAGGGCATGTGCATTTCAGTGAGCTTTTGGTGCGTTTTGGTGCGTTCTGGTGCGTTTTTGATGCATTTTACCGTGTTCCGGTACAGTTCTGTGCAGGAAAAGTGCAGCCTGCTCTACTTCTACAGAGGGCTCAGGGAGAATATACAAACTGAGGACCCCAGTGCTGCAAGGCAGAAGTGCTGACCACTGAGCCACCAGGCAGACCTGTATGCTTTGTAAGTATGCTGCATGCTTTTTCAAGGTCAAAAAAAGCACTGAAGCCAGGAAAAAAAAGCCATGCAAAGCACATCTTCCAAAGCATGTCAGCAATAGCAGCTTACACCATTCTGCCAGCACAGGCTTCCTTTCATCTTGGCTGGAAGTGTGACTCACCAATGTGTTAAATCGCACCTCTGCATGGTGAGAACTGGAAGTCCCATAGTTCAGGGACAGATATCATAGGCATGGCACCGCCTGTACAGCGCTTTAAGTGCCGCTCCTGACAGCCCTGCTAGTTGTTGTCTTCCAGTCTCAGGGTTTCCACATTCCTGCTGCTGCAAAAAAACAAGTCATAAAATATTCAACAGGAGGCAATTTTCTGACACTTTTGCGGAGTGTTTTGTGCGTAGATGAGAAGGGAGAAAACTGTTGCTCATCTCAGGACATGGAAATTACTGGCTGTCCTAGTTGCAGATCATAAAAGCTGACATATTGGCTTTGACTTGCATTAGATTTATTATTAAAAATTGCATGAGCTCGGGGACCGCTGATGATGAGCAGCCGGGGTTGTGCAGGGCAGGAGATCCGAGTGACAACTGGAACATTTCATGCATGCAGGGTGCTGTTTGTGCCTGTTTGTGGTTCTTAGATTGTAAGCTCCCAGGATCAGGCCCTCCTACCCCTCTTGTATTGAATAATATTGTTGCTGTATTGTCTCCCGTTATATTGTAACGCGCTGAGCAAACTGTTTGCGCTATATAAATCCTGTATAATATAATAATAATATATAAATCCTGTATAATATAATAATAATATATAAATCCTGTATAATATAATATAATATATACATCCTGTATTATAATAATAATATATACATCCTGTATAATAATAATAATAATAATATATAAATCCTGTATTATAATAATAATATATAAATCCTGTATTATAATAATAATATATACATCCTGTATAATAATAATAATAATAATAATATATAAATCCTGTATTATAATAATAATATATAAATCCTGTATTATAATAATAATATATACATCCTGTATAATAATAATAATAATATATATAAATCCTGTATTATAATAATAATATATACATCCTGTATAATAATAATAATATATAAATCCTGTATTATAATAATAATAATAATAATATAAATCCTGTATTATAATAATAATATATAAATCCTGTATTATAATAATAATATATACATCCTGTATAATAATAATAATAATAATATATAAATCCTGTATAATAATAATAATATATAAATCCTGTATTATAATAATAATAATAATCATAATAATATATAAATCCTGTATAATAATAATTATAGTATAGTGCCAACAGTTTGCGCAGCGCTTTACAATATAAGGGAGACAGTACAATTACAATACATACACTGACCCGAACAACCTCAGACCCATCTCCCTGCTGTTGTTTACATCCAAACTCCTTGAGTGCTTAGTCTATAATCGCCTAAGCTCCCACCTCAATGACAACAACCTCCTCGATCCCCTACAGTCTGGCTTCTGTCCCCTACACTCCACCGAAACTGCCTTACTTAAACTCTCCAACGACCTGCTAACCGCCAAAGCTAATGGCCACTATTCAGTGCTCCTACTCCTTGACCTCTCTGCGGCTTTTGACACAGTCGACCACCCCCTCCTCTTCAAAAAAAAAACTACACTCCCTCGGCCTCAGAGATTCTGCTCTCTCCTGGCTCTCGCCCTACCTATCACAACGCTCTTTCAGCGTTACCTATAACGCTACCACCTCCCCCTCACTCCCCCTCTCTGTTGGGGTTTCTCAAGGCTCTGTCCTCGGGCCCCTTCTCATCTCCATCTACACCTCCTCCCTTGGCCAACTGATACACTCTCACGGCTTCAACTACCACCTCTATGCCGACGACACGTAAATCTATCTCTCGACCCCTTGCCTCACTCCCTCAGTCTCAGCCCGAATCACACACCTACTGAACGACATATCAGATTGGATGTCACTCCACTTCCTTAAACTGAACCTCTCCAAAACTGAGCTCCTGGTTTTCCCCCCAGCCCGCGCCCCCCCACTGACTTCTCCATCACGTCCAACAATGCCACCATCAGGCCCGCCCCACAGGTCAGAGTACTTGGGGTCATTCTTGACTCCAATCTATCCTTCCAGCCCCAAGTCCAATCATTAACAAACTCGTGCAGACTCCACCTCCGCAACATCGCCAAAATCTGCACGTTCCTAACCCCAGAAACCACTAAGCAGCTCATCCACTCCCTCATCATATCACACCTGGACTACTGCAACTCCCTCCTCACTGGCCTGCCTCGCCACAGGCTATCCCCGCATCAATCCATCCTGAATACGGCCGCCAGACTCATTCACCTTTCCAACCACTCCGTTTCCGCCACCCCCCTCTGCCAATCCCTCCACTGGCTTCCGATTGGCCAACGGATGAAAATCCAAACTGCTAACACTGACAAACAAAGCCGTCCACCATACTGCCCCGAACTACATCACTGACCTAATATCCAAGTACCACCCAAAACGCACTCTCCGCTCCTCACAAGACCTCCTTCTCTCTTGTTCCCTGGTCTCCTCCTCCCATGCCCGTCTCCAGGACTTCTCCAGGGTGTCACCCATCCTCTGGAACTCCCTACCCCAATCCATCAGACTATCACCTACTCTCCTCTCCTTTAGGCGCACCCTGAAAACCCACCTCTTCAGGGAAGCCTACCCCGCCCCCTGCTAATTGCCGATCTCCTCCACTCTTCCTACCACTGCATCCCCCACAGCTTTTCCTCCCCGACCCCTATAATCCTCCCTCCTAGATTGTAAGCTCCAAGGAGCAGGGCCCTCGTACCCCTCGTGTATCGCACTGTATTGTTATTGTACTATCTCCCATTGTAATGTACAGCGCTGAACTATTGGCGCTATATAAATACTGTATAATAATAATTTCAGTGCAGAAGGAATAGGAGGGCCCGGGTCATGGAGCTTACAATCTAAAGGAAGGGGGAGGTGATACAAAAGGTGATAGCTGCAGGGGATGATCTGGCAGAGATGATTCAAGTACAGTTCTTAGGTGGAGGTGGGGTAGGCTTCCCTGAAGAAGTGAGTTTTCAAAGGTCGCCTAAAGGCAGACAGGGTGGGGGCTGACCGGACATGCTGTGGTAGGGATTTCCAGAGGATGGGAGTGGCTCTAGAGAAGTCCTGGAGGCGAGCGTGGGAGGAAGTGATGAGGGAGCTAGAGAGGAGGATATCATGGGAGAAGCGGAGCGGGCGATTTGGGTGGTATCTGTGGATGAGGTTGGTGATGTAGCTAGGGGCAGTGTTGTGGATGGCTTTGTAAGCTGTGGTTTGTATTTTGAATTTTATAATATTCCCTAAGCTGACCCCGTCTTCATAACATGCACTGGGGGGGGATTTACTAAAGCTGGAGCACTCAGAATCTGGGGCACCTGCGCACGGGAGCCAATCAGCTTTAAACTTCAGCTTGATCAGTTAAGCTTTGGCAATAAAACCTGGAAGCTGATTGGCAGAGCTGAACCAGATTTCGCACTCTCCAGTTGTAGTAAAGACGTCACTACTAAAACGCTATAAAAAAAAGAACCGACAATTTTGAGAAAAAAAAAAACTATATTTTTAACTTTTTGCTATTAAACACATCCAGTAAAAAAATGTTAAAAAATCTAATTTTATTATAAATTTAGGTCAAAATGTATTCTGCTGCATGAATTTGCTAAATAAAATCCCAATATGTGTAAATTAACTGGTTTACGTGAAAGTTATAGTGTTTTTTTAAAAATAAAATTTCATCATAAATTTAGGCCTAAATGTATTCTGCTCCGTGTCTTTGCTAAAAACAAATTACGTGAAAGTTATAGCGTTTACAAATGGCGGTATACAGAGATTCTTTTTTTATTTTTTACCAGTAATGGCGGCGATCGGCGACTTATAGCGGGACTGCGGCGGACATTCTGACAATGGGGGGAAGTGACTTGGTGTCACAGACATCCCCAGTGACACCAATACAGTGATCAGTGCTAAAAACAAAAACAAAGCACTGACACTGTACTAGTGGCACTAGGCAGGAAGGGGCGATCAAAGGGTTAACTGTGTGCAGGGAGCAGGGGCGGACTGTCCATTTGGAAACTTGGGCACTGCCTGAGGGCCCGGGGTCAGTAGGGGGCCCCATGAGATGCCCCTGGTACCTTTTTCATAGGCTTTTTTGAGTTTGTGCAAGGACACAGAGGCCCCATGATCCCCTATTGAGGGCCTGGGGTCAGTAGGGGGCCCCATGAGATGCCCCCGGTACCTTTTTCATAGGCTTTTTTTGAGTTTGGGCAAGGACACAGGGGCCCCATGATCCCCTATTGAGGGCCTGGGGTCAGTAGGGGCCCCATGAGATGCCCCTGGTACCTTTTTCATAGGCTTTTTTGAGGTTGGGCAAGGACACAGGGGCCCCATGATCCGCTATTGCCCGGGGGCCCCATGAGTTGTCAGTTTGCCCCTGGCAGGGAGTGTTTTACTAGGGGGCGGGGGACATGTGCTTCACTGTAATCACACTGCTCTGGATGGCTGTGCTGCGCCTCCACATCTAAATACTGATATGTCACAATATATGACATTTTTGTTTTTGGGAGTTGAATGCTTTAACTATAGGATAAGTTTA